TACCGGGAAGCTTGTGCACAGAAGTCGATGATCGATTTGATAATCGTATCGTCTCACCTAAGACGCTCAGCAGTGGATGTTCGCGTTAAAAGAGGCGCAGAGCTATCAACCGATCACCACCTTGTTGTTGGCACGCTGCGCTCTAAGAAACGGAGTACCATACGAAGATCTGGTGTCAGAAACATTTTCTTCGGTGGACACGAGAGAGAAATTTGCAAACATCGTTGCACGACGGTTTGAACAGATCCCGGTGATGACAACTGATCTTGAAGCCGAGTGGCAGCTCTTTAAGAGCGGCATACTCGAGGCTGCCGCCGAATGCTGTGGATTCAAACGGGTTGGCCTGCCGCCTGGAGGTCAGAAAATATATTCATGGTGGACACGAGAGGTATAACTGGCAGTTAAAGAGAAGAAAGCAACGTTCAAGAAATGGGTTGGAAACAAAGAGCCTTCTACTAGCGTGAGATATGTCGAGGCTGGCAGGGCGGCAGCGAAAGCAGTGGCGAAAGCCAAAGCTGATTCCTGGGAGAAGTTCCGTGATTTGTTGGAGTCGAATTTCCATACGGCGAACAAGGTATTGTGGCAGACTATCCGCCGGCTCAGAGGTGAAAAGAAGGGTAGTCTAAGATTCTTGACTACCCTGAACACCCTCTTCCCAAGGATGATGAAATTCTTCGACGATGGAGAGAGTAATTTGAGGAACTCCTTAACCTCGAGCAACCGCAAGAAGACTCGCCTGTAGAACGGCAGGGAACGGATATTACCTCTGTAGATGCAATTACACAAGCTCTGAAAAGGTTGAAAAATGGAAAGGCTGCTGGAATTGATGAAATCCACTTTGAAATGCTCAAGGCATTAGACGAACAAGTTATGTGCTGGCTTACTCGTGTCTGTCAAACTACGACGACTACAGAGAAGACAGCAGCGGACTGGAGAACGGGAGTTGTGGTACCCTTGTTCAAGAAGGGAGACCACAAGGAGTGCTCCAATTATAGGAGCATTACGTTATTGAGCTTCCATTGGTAAAGTCTACGGAAGGATGCAAAAAAGAGGTGTCGCGGAATAGCTGACTCCAACATACAAGTAGAGCAGTGTAGCTTCCGGCACGATCGAAGCACCTGTGATCAAATATTTGC